CAAACCACCAAAACCCAAACAGAGCTAAAAGAAAACGTTACTTTGAGCTCTCTCTCTTGTGGAAAATAAACCTGGACAGCAGCAGGTTGCTAACTTCTGTCACCTTTTGTGACAAAGTTAAGCTGTTGAAATGTGCAGCCTTCTTTCCCTGATTGCATTCATTTTGCTACTTTAAACTCCATCTAAACGTACACTCTTGGATTTCAGAAAGCAAACGGCAAAAGCAACCACCAGTTTAAATGTCATATCTTTGTTTATACAAATTACAATTGCAATATGGCACTGTCCCCCTTCTTAAATAGTATCTCATCATTTGTGCAATCTCTTCACGAATTACAGGATAAAAAGGCAGAGTGTGTATTTGACTCAATGTCTCTTAATAGTTTGCATGCGTGAAGTCATAGAGAGCGATGGATAAAGGCACGTGGATATTACTGATACCTCATCAGGTGGCATCAGAGCCAACTCCTGGTAATGTACCAAACTGGAGGACTAAACAGAAGCTTTCGAAGCTGATGTCCCTTGCAGCTTTCAGGAGTTACTTAATGGGATTTTTCAGGTTTGTTAACAGACCTCTCATTCATAGCGCCAGTTCAGCTTCTCCATCCTCATTAATCCAGGAGCCATACCTGCCCAGACCCTTAAAAACAAAGGACTGTAGGATGCTGTCCACTTTTCTTTTCTAGAGTTGCCCACCTTTACAGCAGAATCAGCAGAAGAAAAGCCTCACTCTATCTATTTTATTATAAAATACTGTCTTAGCATAAACCCATCTTCATCTGCAAGATGCCTCCTCTGCCTTATGCTCCTTCTGAGTGGGTCAGATAGCTGGTGATGGCAGGAGCAAATATATGTCCTTGGATACTCTCCTTTGGACTAATAGGGCCATTGGTGACTGAACAGAATGACTTGTGAGTAACTCACAAGTGACCAGAAGTCAGTCTTTAATTTTTAAATTATTTTGGAAAGGAGAAAGGGAGCAGCAGCAGTCTAGAGTGGATTTGATTCAGCTCATAGATTTTATTCTCTGTTATGGATGGCAGTTTTGTACAGTATTTTATGGCACAGCATACTGTCTCATGAGGTTGCTGTAATTTCAGCAGAAATTCTTCTATCTGTGTGATGTGGTTTTTACTTTGTCTATAAATATAATAGCAAGAACTTCAGCTACATCATGGCCAGATTTGAAATGGCTCATCTTTTTTCAATTAGTTTCTTCTTTTTATTGTCACGATTATTCATTTTCTCTTACGTGGAAAAAAGCTACATTATTTTAGGGAGTGTCCTTTACTCTTGAATTCTTGTTGTAGTTCATTCTCTTTGGTTTCTACTCTCACCTCTTCCAAAACGGTTGTATTTTTTCTTTTCTTACCTTTCTGCTCTAAGTAGTAAGTACCAAATTTTGGATTAGAAACCTCCACCAGTATTTGCATCTGTGATGTCATTATATGACAGTGGTATTGATAAGTGTCATTGCTTCTTGAGCTCCAAACAGTCTGATCTGTGGATATGAAAATTGTGTTAGTTTTAGCTTTTTAAGAAACCATCCTTATTGTGTGACTGTGAATCAATTATTAATTGCATTAAAAGGTTTTGACCTAAATGGGGAAAATGGAATTGCAGAAACAAAATTAATTGGAGCCTCAAGATGGAATCAAGTCTTTAGACTTGAATTACTGGGTTCTTTGCAAGGAGAAATTTTATATTCTTTGTAAAGAGTACAATAAAATAAAATGCCAGTGATGACGACAAAGTTTCTAATGCACTTGTATCTTTGGCTTCCTGGAAAAATCATGAGAAAGGCACCAGCAGTCTAATTTCAGCAGTATTTCATATTCTGCAGTATCTCAAACTTCTTACGAGAAGCCTTCAAGTCAATTTGTAGCATGGAGATAGATGATAAAGTCTGTCATGTTGTGGATAGGTCTAGCTAGCTTGCTTATACTATTCTCCTTTGGCAAAGATGATCAAGCTGACAGATTCAAAAAGTCAGAGGTCAGTAGGATTTATTAATAAGCACATCTGACCCCATAAATCATAGAGTATTATGTGTCATCCACTTAGTCCTTAAGCATGGTACTAAATAGTACAAAATGTGTGTCTGAAAAAACATAATCTGGATTATAAGAAATGAAAAGCTTTGGTTGTTCTGATGGTTAGCTCCCTTACAATTAAAACTTACTTTATTTTGAATATGACTTTTGTCTTAACTTTGCAGCTCTTAACTTTGTAATACTATTAATTTTGTCATGCTTTTCTGTGCTAAACTTTTAAAACAGCTAGGTTTTTTTATTATTTGAACACTGGAGTCTTCATGTACACAGCTCAATCTTTTTAATATTCAAAGCAGTTTAGGTTCTTTGATTCACACTGTGAGAAATTTTCTCCTCCTTTCAAATAACTTCTGTGGCTCTTCTCTGTACCCTGTCCAATTTTTCAACATACTTTTAAAAATGTGGATACCGGAACAGGATGCAGCATTCCAGTGTCCCTTGCAAAGGTAAGATTACCACCTTACACCTATCGTGTCCATATCTCCAAAGGAATGTATAAGTGCTTTTTCTCCCTTTTTTTTGTCATAGCATCACGTGTTGAGATGCTTACCTACGGTAATTACTTAAGTTCTACTGAGTTACTACTTATATTCTGTAGGTCATTCCCGTAGGTGGCAAATGTACTCTGGTAGCAAAGCATACAACTTGGCCTGAACTAAGTTAAAAAAAAACCAAAACACTGAAGAGCATAGCTGCCCTCAGTATTTAGTTTCACCATTCTTGGTGACATGCATGTGTTGACTCTAGAGACCTGATGAAAATGTTGAATACTGTTGAGTCTTGTACCTGTTGTCATATATAGTGAGACTTCCCCTGTAGTGATAAAGGGTTTGTGCAGATGAGAACTACAGCTCTTGTTGGCGGCAGCGGAAGCACAGTTAATGCTGCTAAACTCAGAGCTGGAGAGGAAGGTACTTGGAGAAATTGTGAAATGCCATTTATTTTTTAATATCTCTGTTTCTTAAGTTTATCTCTGTAAGGCAAGAAATTACATGATTTTGCAATAATTATTTAATAAAATTCCAATGTTGTTTGATGCTGTAGTACCAGATAACATCTATCTCAGTAAGCTTGAACAGAGATATAAAGTATCTCTCTAATTATACACCAGCAGGTGAAAAGATGGTAGGAGTTTCTCAGACCCACAATTTGCTTTTGTTTCCTCACTATTTGGTAAGACAGTTTGGGTCTTACTGGGCTTATGAAATCTGAACACATGGGTGTAAATAGCAATGAGCAATGGAAGCCTCTCACATCTCTTGGGAAAGTCTCCCTTTTAGATGAGGATCGGGCCACAGTGATACATCATATGGTTTATCGCCAGGTATGTTTAATTTTGATAACCAGCTGTCGCTGAGTCACTACCCTCAAAATAGTTTTCCCTTTGAATAACACAGTGCCAGAAACTTTCAGTTTTTACAATTGCTTTCTGAAGCATTCTCAAATCATGGCTAGAAAAACAGATGTTTTGGGGGTGGCTGGGTGACAGTGGTCTTTTCAAAGTCTTTGTGCTACATAGCTGGAATGTAGTCATGGGATTCATAGCCAGGGAATATGTTTAGATTTATGTCTTCAGTTTTCTAAGCCTAACTTCTTTACAGTACTTTACAAGATGCACTTTGGGGAAAAAAAAATAAAGTAAGATTATACTTGTAGTAAGAGGAGGAGCAGGAAGTGAGCCTGACTTGCATGTGAAAGAAGAGAGACAAGTAGAACAAATTTGCCCTTGAATTCTAATTAAAGAGCAGTGATGGTATTTTTTTTTTTAGTGGTAGGAGTTGGCACGTTCAGTGTGTTTTTGTTGGGTTTTATTTTTCTTTAACTCAAAACTGTACATTGCACAGCAGACTTGTATACAGGTTTTCTTTCCATCCCTTTTGGCTATGATAGTATTCACCTCTCACTGATTTCATGCTCCTTCAGGATATTTGTGCTGAACTGCCATTCCCCGATTCCTCCATGCCCCTCCTTGATCCCTGACTTCACCTATTCATTCAGTTTTCGTGATAGGTTGTTATTTCCTACATCTCTGTAGTGTACATATAGTGCACTGTACATACATATCAAATGTTTTAAAAAATTGTAAAAGATGCCCAGAGTAGCGTGCTGAACAGCTAGTCCCTAACAGATCTAGCACTTTATTCTGTTAAAGTCCCAACTCTTGCATTTTTTTTCCTCTACTCTGATCAGATAGTCTTGTATTGATGTAATTACTCTTGTGCTGATAGCTGCCGTTCAGAATTCTTACTTATGTTCCAATGATATGTTAATGACCCTGCTTTTTGTAAGGCATGGCAGCATAATCATCTGAACAGTAAGTGACATATGCAGCGTATGTATAACTGAATTGCATGTTGCCTGTCATTTTTCTGTGCTTGGAGCAAAGCAAGAATTTTCCCTGAACGTAGGTGCCCCTAGGGTGTTGCTGTGTATATGTCTGCTTGAAACATCAATTTTATGCCACAAGTATGTGAAAATCTGTGTATTCTGACAATGCGGGCAGCCGTTATAGAAATAGCATAGGACATGCAGTTTTCTACAATAAAGGCCTCAAAGAATTTGTAGTAAAATTCATGATTTACCTGGGCAGTGCATGGAGCACTGTTGTGATGTGAAGATGAAGAGCTGGAGCTGAGGTAGAACAGCATTACTCATTGTGCTGACAGTACTGGTCTAATAAACCCAGTAGAAACTGAGGTAACGCATCCAGAATCTGCACTGGTGCTTTATATGTACATGCTATTTGACTTTAGTTCACAGTCTAATGTGCGCACATGCTGTGTTTCCTGTGTAATAATCTTTGCCTTCTTTTGTATAAGTGATAAAACTGCATAGAAAGTGGGAAAGTATTGCTGTAGTTCTTGTTCTAACCTTCTTTTCCATCACTTCTAATAAAAGCAAGCAAAGAATCATTGTTTAGTAATGCTAATGAATTTATTTTTTTAGGATCTGGTCAACACTGGACTCAGCACTTTCTTCTTTTTCATTGCCTCTGTAGTACTTGCTGCTTTAAACCATAAAACTGGAGCAGAAATTGCTGCTGTGGTAAGAATTTGAACTTCTTTATATATGACTCTCTTCTTCTATTAAAACTAAGAATAACTTTTCCCTCATGTTCATTGAATATTCCTGTTGCCTTTGCCACTGCAGTTTACTTCTAATTTTACAATTGGCTATGCACTAATTCTGATTTAGAAGTATTGACATCCTTTGACTTGTTTATTTTAAGACTTGAGGCAAGAACAAACAGAAAAATTACTTGCAGAGAACACTTTAACAGTTCAACTTGCCTTGCTTCTTTCTCTATAGCTAGCTTAGATGATAATGCTCTATATTGCAAGCCTAGAGAAAAGAGAGAGTCAAAAACTTACAAGAAATTGGAGCTGCTTATACGTAATTTGCTGAATTCTTCTTGCTCGCTACAGATCGTTTTTTTTCTGTGGAGTGAGTACAGTAGTACTTGAAGATTTAAAATCTAGAACAGTAAGGTCAAGCAAATTAATTTTGTGCTTGATTTGGAAACCTTATTTTTTCTTCCCCCGCCCCAAACCTGGACATTGATACTCACACAACAGTTCTGCAGAAGTATGTAGGAAGAAGTGCACTAGCTTCTTCTCCAGGCTGATGGTCTGGACTGGTCATCTGTTCTCTTGTCATTCATTCACTATTATGTGCACCCTGAGGAATGAACTGTTGGATGAAGAGCTGTATTCTTCTTTACAAGAGGTTCTTCCATTGAAGTTGGCATTGCACGATTTAATTGTCATGTTTGTAGACAGAGAACTTTGTTTTCTGGGATCACTGATCTTAGTCGCTTTTGCAAATTCTCTAGTCATTGAAGAAGAAAAACATCAATTTTACAGGCCATGATGATTTGTCAGTGCAAATAAAGTAGAAAACTAAATTGCTGAGGAATTTGTTGTGAAACTACTATTGTTCTTGTTTTCAAAAATTGTCTTTGACAACTCTTTCTACTTCTTGTAGATATTTGGTTTCTTGGCAATGGCAGTGTATGCTGTGAACACATATTTAGCTATTAAAAAGTGGCGAATGAACAGCAGACAACAAAGTAGTCGGCAGACCAGTGATTACATACGTGCTCGGACAGAATCCAGAGAAGTAGATCATCGCCCTGAGATTCAGCGTCTGGATGCATGAGAGCGACATTCAAAGAATGGGACTGCAAAGGGAAAAGAAGAAGTGCTTAACTCCCTCATGGAATAAAGGGTTTTTTCTTTATTTAAGGAAGAAAAGGAAGATCGGATGGTGGCAAAGAATGCCCAGCCCTGCATATGTGCAGAGATGCATTGAGTCAAAGCTGTTGTCATGAAGGCAGTAAATGTTGGTCATTCAAAAGCAAGATCAGTTTAAGATGCCCACATATATATGCATATATTATATATCTTATATAATATATGTATGTTTTGCAGTATGTTACTGTTTTGAATTGACTGCACAGTACTTTCCTTCCCTCTCCCAAGTGCAAGCTCTGAATATACAGTTCTACCACTGTTTCTTCATCTATTGTAAACACTAAGACCAGCACTACATTGCTTGGTTAATATAAGAAATCTACCAAAAGTAAATTTAATACATGTGAAAAGGAATTGAGGGGCAAATAGCAATAACTTTAGCCATGTATCGTGTCCAACGAACTCTCTGTATCCATCCTCATGCAGCCTTGGCAGTGCAGCTCAGTTCTCATCTGCAAGATCTCCTGCAGTGTCACTGTTGGTGCACTTATATATCTGAAATGGACAACCATTTCACACCTTTTGGTTGATGGATATAGTGTTGAGGTAGTTACCTTACGGGTTACTCTGAAATTGCCATATTCCATTCATGCATGCAGATCTGAACTTGTGCAAAATTAGCGTGTTTACTCAATGGTTACCATAATGCATCAAGTACAAATATGTTGTTTTCTGGTAATGTTGAAATACATTCTGTTTTTCATTCCAAAATGGGAAAAGAAAAATGCTTGGGAGGCAGAGTGGAGAAAAGGGGGTTGAGGGGCACAGTAGAGAAAGAAGGGGTTGTCATCCAATAGACTTCAATAGACTTGCATTCCAGTCATGGCTTTTTTTCTGTTTCCTGGTGGGTTTTTTGTTTTGTTTTTTTAAGGTTCAGCGTTTCTGAGATGCCTTGGGTAAGCAAGAACTAGGAAAAAATTATGAAGTGTTCCTAAGGTTGCAATATTGTGATTCATGTAAGACAAATACTTTCCTTTTTGGAGGTTTTTGTTACTTCTAAACTTAAAACTGTTGGTAGTAGGTAAAAATTTTTTTTTTTTTTTTGGATGTTTCTGCAAATTTTTTCCCTAATATTTCTTTGGAAAATGAGTTTAGATAATTGGAGGATTGGCTGTATTGATTTGTTTAGAAATAGTTTTACCTAACTGAAGTTTTCTTATTTTAATGTACTTCGAGTGAAGAGAAGGATATTTTCTCTACTTGAAACTTGAATTCTGCAGTAATCAGCAGACAGTATAATAATGTTATTAGGAAGATGTCCCTTGATACTCTTCTGCTTTTTTGATTGGTGTTTTTATTTATGTAATCCAGTGTTTGTCATATGCATGCCTTCATGTTACGTGAAGAAAATGTGTAGGGGAGAGGATCTCTAGAGCTGAATTCCTTTCTGATGTAAGCCAATGAAATCTTTGATGTTAGTGGAACTGTATGCCACGTGTGCCTGAATTCGTCTCACGCTTGACTTGAACACTTTTTGCTTTGTGTTCTTATGTAGCTGTACTCTTAAGCAGATGAATGCAGTTAACTGGAGTCTTAATAACAAACGGCAATACATTGCAATAGGTCACTTTTAAATATGAAAGCCAGGTTATGCCTAACGGAAGATTCATAGAAGTGCTTGGGCTTTTTTAATACTGGAGGGAACTGGGAGAGTGACAGGTGTGAACCTAACGCTGCAATATTTCAATCAAGCAACAGAGAATTATTTTGATGTGTGAAAAAACGGTGACAAAACTGATGTCTTTTCATTTTCAATTTACTGACGTCTAGAGTGCATTTCACGTTAGTGGCTAAGATGCAGATTAAAATTCAGAGTTACTACTGAGGCTAAAGAAAACTTGCATTTTCTTAATGAGTTTACTAGTTACTATAGTAACATCTTATTGTGCTTCATTGAAAGTTAATGCCAAAGGGAACACCAATTTTAAAAAAGACTGAACCATATAAGCCAACCTCTGTTATTGGGTTTAGAACATAGACATTTTGTTGAGGTGGTGCCTCACCAGGATCACTGTGCATTTCATGAAAAGTAAATGACAGTTCCATGTTCAGTGTGGTATGAAATAACGAAGTTACTGTTGCCAATACAGTTGTTACACCCTGCTGTTTTTCAGCCCTCTGCGTAGTGTTGGCAAAGTTTGCAAGGAGTGTTTGTAGAGATTGTCAATTATTAAAAGAACTTTTTTAAAAGTAGCACAAGCATGTCTAGACTGGAATGGTAAACTGGCATTTTTGTGTAAAGATTGTTTAAAAAAAAAACAACCACAAACAAAACCCTGCAAAACCACACCAGAACACCAAAACCCCCTACTCAAATACAGAATATTGTCCTCCAGAAGTTCCATGCTTTTAAAGCGGAACCCTCATCTGAAATCAAGAAATGGAAGGCAATGTATAGCAAAGGCTTTTCGTTAGGAATGTATCCTCTTTGCTGGTTAATGACAAAGACTAAAACGGTGCGTATGTAAGAGAACTCCCTGTTCCTCTCCTGTACTCCCTGTGCTGATTCGGGCTTTTCAGAGGTGTGGGACATCTTGTGCATCCTTAAGTTTATGAATTTGGTATCTTTTAGATCCTTACACCTTTCCTTACCTAGAAACACAGTAACTTCACCGAGCTTTTTCTGGAGTGAGATCATGAAAAGATTTTTGTTATCTTTTAGCTGGAATGACAAATGCCGAATGATACCGTTATACTTCTAATACATTATAACACTTAATCATGTAGTATAGTATACCTGAATGACCTTGAGTGCTTTTACATGTGAAGTAAGTTTTCTTGAGCTGAGAACCGTATGCCATTATTTATTACTTACATCATGACTTGAGCTTACCACAGCTTTCAGGGTAGAATTCAAAGAGAATATTAATTTAAAAAATACTATCTGATACACTTTGTAAAACAGAAAAACAAATGTAAATTTGTAATTTCCTTATTATGGGGACCAAAGATGATTTTAGTATTGTACAGTATATACTTTCTAAAAATCTAAGTTAAGCATTTATTACTTTTACGGAGACATTATTTACTATTGGGATTATGTAAAAGGGAAATGAAGTAGCTCTGAGAGACAACTAAATTTGAAACATTAACATCACATGATCCCCCTGACTTAATTTTACACCGTGTATTGAAGAGGTGGTAATATTTTAAGACTGTTATCCAAACTGCAATCATCATAAAAAAGCTCTGAAGGAAGAAAACAGGTTAGAAAGTTTAATTTTTTTTTGAAACTTGCTCAGAAATGTGATATTAAATTGCTTTCCCCAGCCAGTTAGTCTTGCTTGTAATTGCTGAGCATATAGGAATAACTTCTTTTAGTCCTTCAGAGTACTGTTTAGCTCCGTAAAGGGACACAAAACCCACTGTAAATAAAACTAAATTAAAGCTAGACACTTAAACCTTGTAGGACTGGGATGCTTGAAACCGTAATGGTTCTGATCAGTCCTCTTTTTGTCAAACTAAGCTCTCAGATATGCAATCTCCATGTATTTCTGCATGTAGAAATGATGGTAAACTTTGAAACGTATGCACAGACATCAAAAAACTAGTTAAAGCATAAGATGTGATGGAGCAACAGCATAGTAACTGCTGTATAGTCTTGTAAGAATATGTGTTTCCCTTTTAATGCTATGTATGCTCAGTTTTGTCAGCCTTCAAGTTTATCATACATTCCTGTAATGATGTGCAAAATGCCTACAAAAGAAGTTTCTAAAACCATAATTAAGAACCAATTTGACAGTTTCATCGCTTCTTAGTAAAGTTGATTCCTTGTTACTCTCTGCTTGTTCCTTTCACGTCATATATCCATGCCTCATCTATCTCACGTTTTAATATCTAATTTTTGTTAAGCCTTCTTCATTGACCTGTATAGTGACCGCTTCAATAGAAGGAAGATAAGGATGCTGCGTCCAATGTCCTTTTGCTTAAGTATGGCACTCTTCCCTTTTATGATAGCTTATGGTGTTTGGGCTGGATGTGCTGGGGAAATACTGTTCTTTCCCCTAGGACTTTGGAAGCTAGCTGGTATGCTGCATGTGTTTCTGTGTAAGCTTTCTGGTAGGAGCCACGTGCTTAGAGGTTGAGAGGATGAGAGATTCATCTACCTCTGCCTTTTTTGAGAGACAAGGTACTGACTGTAGAGATTTTATGCCTATGTTTCAGTCTGTGCTATTCATCATGGGCTTTGTATCCAGAAGCATGGCATCAGCAAAGAGCTGTGCCTTGGAAGCAGCTTCTCATCTCTTGCTTATAAGATGTCTCCTACATGTGAATTTAAATAAAATCAGTAATGTGGGGTGCTTCTTCATAGGCTTGTCACATGCTTTTCACTGTGCATCTCGTGGTACAATCTACAATTGGTTTATCTCTTTGTATTTCATTGATACTAGAAAGAAGAGGGAAAAAGTGGGGAAAGTTTCCAGTCTTCCTTCAGATAATCTTATTTTACTTTTTCTTCCCCTATGAGTTATTTTATGCCACGTGATGATTGCCCATTCCTAACACAGCAGACTTACTGGTTCTTAAAAGTGCTGTGGAACACAGCAGGAGAATCGATCTGCTGCAAGCTGCATGTGGACTGTTACGACTGAACTAACCACTAGTTTTCAATGAACTTTAAGGTCCCTAAACAAATTTGATATTTGTCACCTTTGTGCTATTTTGGGGATGTGCAGGCGCAGCAAATGCTTATCTAATATTTATTAATGCAACATTCCCCGCCTCCCCCCCTTCCCCCCCCTTCCTTAGTCCGTGTTCTGTATCTGTTATTTTCTTGTCTCAGGACAACTTTGTAAACATTCCTACTTGTTCTCCTCTTTTTTTATGGGGGGAGAGAACCCAAAACCAAATCAACAACTTAACGTATCTAAGAATATGTTTTTAGGGCATAATGGAAAAAAACAACTCCACACCAAAAATACCCCCAAAAAGCCAAACCAAAAACTTAATAGCAATTCAAATAGTGTAGAAAATAATATCCTGTCTCCTACTGAGATGAGATACTGAACAGCTTTGTACATGAAAATCAGAGCATAAACAACAGGTTTAGGCTGAAAGCTCTGGAGCCAAACATCTTCACCAGGTATTTAGGATAAATAAAAATGTAGGCATGATCTGATAATGAATTTGAGATGTGATAAAGAGTGAGAAGGAGAGAGAAACCCAAACTTGATTCCTAATAATCCAGTGCTTTCGAAATTACATGTGAACATTAATAATCCCCAACCACAGAAGAAAAGATTGCTTCTGTGCTTCATAGCGAAGGAGAGAGAGACCCCTTGAATCCATAGTAGAAGTAGGTGTAGAAGCGTTTCTCTGTTCCTAACTCTGGAGCCATGCTGGCTGTGTAATGCTGGTGGAGAGATTCTACACCAGCGTTGTTAATGGTGCATCTTAAAACCTGAGGTGACAAATTGGTGTGATTACCAAGTAACTTCTCCTCAGCTGAAGTGCAGTAGCTGGTTCACAGTGACCTGCAGGACGTAGATGTTTGCATCAGAAGGGTTCTATGTATCTAGAAGAAAGGATAGTTTCAGACTAATTTCTGCTCAGTCCCACTGAAATGAGGAAGGCAGTCACGTAGCATTTCTGAAATTGGGTACTTAGTTCTTGTTGTTTGTAGCACAAAATAATGGATTGTTTGGAGGGCCAGCAAAGCTCAAAAAGGCTGTGCAAATAGAGGTGTGTATGGCAACAAAAGTAATAATTTTAAAATTAAACTGAAATAGGTACAAAACCCAACAGAATGTTTGAAAATAGTTTGTAGAAATTATGCTATATTCCTCTCTTTATTTTAACAGAGGGAGTTGGTTAAAAATGAATTTACACAAATACTCAGGAAATCTCTGAATGACGCTTTATAGAGTTTTTCCTGGTATATTGTTTTCCCTGTTAGCCACTCGGCCACCTGGATAGATCTGTTTGACAGAGTCAGAGCGGTGCTGTCCAACCTGAAAGGGTTCCTTTGTTGTTTTGGTCTTATTTTTCCTTGCTCTTCTTAAAATCTGTCTATAATTTAACCATTTGTATTCTAAAATAATCTTTAGAAAATCTGCTTACACTGTGATTTATGATAGCCTTTAATTTAGAGTATACAACACAATCTAATTTTCTTTTGGGATATGCAGCTTTCAAAAGTGTTCTTATATATGCCCAGAAATGAAAGTTGTCTATTTATCATGAAAATGTGATTAGATAAAGTTACCTATCTGGAATCCCAGCAACTCTTTCAAATGTGCTGGATGGATGAGTTAGTGAAATTGCCTTTTAATCTCTATGGGTTAATAAATATTTTTTTATTACTAGCCACAGATATTCCTTTTTAAATTATACTTGGCAAACAGAAGATATATAATTTTATATACAATATACATAGTTACCTTGATTGACATATTTATAACATAGAGCTTTGTGTTTACTATGAAGGTTTTATCTGTATACCAGGGACTTAATGGGTAAAATTTTAAAAAGCCAGTTAACGTATACGGAAGGATGTGGAAATTATCTTCATGAATTCAGAGTGAGGACATAGGAGCATTTCAAAAAGCAATAGCCAGATCATATTAACAGAGTATCTGGGTTTTTTCTTAGTATTTGATTGGGGCTGGTCCCTACAGCTATTTTAGTAACATCTGGATGTGAGTAACAGAATGAAATATAACCATCTGCCTCTTCTGACTGTCACGGACTATTGTCTAGAATATGGGAAACTTCAGGGTATTGTATTTGTTTTGCTTTGGACAAATGTCTCAATAGACATATTTAATTAAAACCTTCATGTGTTTGAAAGAAAATACCCTCTCTTAACTAGGCTGATTTATCACTTTTGGTAACCTTTTAATCCCAAAAGTATTATTGTCTAAATATTTTTAGTAATGTTACATTTATCCTGATGTCTACAGGTTAAAGTGGTTCTGGCTAGCACCCTTTATTACGACAATTGCTACCTTCATTTTTCTACTGTTTATACTTTAATCTTGAATGTTTACCGGTTTCTACTTGTTGGATATTGTGGAGGGAGAGTGTATCTTAGCACTACAGTTCATCCAGCTTTAACTCATACATCACAGTTCTGGAGTAAGAAAATATTTTGATTTATATATTGTGGCCAATTTATTGCATTTTTAAATGATTTCTATACTTAAGACACAACATTTATGACGTAATATAACAAATGACTTAGCTAATCATTATATCTGTCTAGACTTACTCTCTTCTGTGTTAGTGTCATTTTGAAACTATTTGTATATGTTGAAGTTTGTAAGGGTTCAGGAACCCACAATAAAATAGTATAGTATGTATTTATTTCTCATTATAATGCTCAGTTTTGATTTGAAAGTTGACACTTTGTATGTCTTTTCACAGAATTGTAAACAAATACCGAAAAACTGCTTCACCTAGTGTGCCTTCCGTGTGTGGTATAAACACTTGTCATTCACAGAAATAGAGATGTAAATTTATTAAACCAGTAAACGCTATTTTTGTAATGTGAGTCACTAATGCATCTCTGGCTTCATTTTGCTGTGTTTCCACTAATAGCAGTTTTATGGCTACTGTAGTCATTGCTTTCCCTTTGGGCACTAAATAGTAAATCTGATATCATGGCAAATCAAAAGATTGTGTTGCTTTGGCTCTGCTGTGCCTTCAGCCGCTACCTGAAAGATGGAGATGAAGCAGATTGCTGATGTGAGCTAGAAGGTACTCCAAATTTCTTTCCTTGAGACTTGGGTGAAAAGATGCTCAGTGTGGGATATCTGTATCGTCAGTGCCGATTCTGGGTCCTCTAGAGAAACATAGCGGGCATAACCTAAACATTCTGATTCTAGCTCATAACTTATGATTTATGGTGTCTGAGGAGGGAGCATCCAGGCCTGACTGAAAGACTTTATCCCTCGAGGATGTAGGTCCTATACTGATGGATTTGTAATTGGGAACAGTTCAGAAGTGTTAGTTGAAATAGTGGGTTAGAATTCCATCTTGGACTGAGCAAAGGGGATGCAATTTTCCTTTTATCATACGAGCACAAGTCTGCTGTGTAATGCCCTTGGTATTTTGCTTTTGAAGTAAGAAACAATAATATTTTGCCAAGGAAAATCTTACAATACTCTATGTGTGAATGCAGAACCTGACGCTGTTGTCCTCGCTCAGGCAAAATTCCCCATTGACTTAGGGGACTGTAGATCAGGTACCCATTTATCACCAAATCCTGATCTAGGATTTGAAGAATATCGCAAGTTAGCAAATGCTCATATAGAGACAATTTACAGTCTTGAAGCAATTTCACATTATTGTGGTAAGTGTTCTTTAAGTTCTCAAACTGCACACCAGGCCAGCTGATAAAATAGATGCTTTCCATAGCGGTACCTACCAGCTGTGATCACTGTCCCCTCGGTATCGACAGCTGTAACTTACCTGTGCAAGTGTAGCATCTTCCAGCTCTGTATGTGAAAGTTGTGCTGTTAATGCTTGACCAGTTTCAAAGGCAAGGTGACTCTACAAGAAAACATAACCTCCAACTTGTTTTTACACCAGTAATGATTTTTCAATACTTTGTGTGCTTCTTTTCTGTTGTTTTTTATGCTAAACAAAAACCGCAAGCTGAAGAATTGTAATGTCTTGCAATACCGAAAGCAGTCTTGTTTTTAAAATCCATACTGTAATAGCATAATTTAAATGGTGTATTTATCAGTTTTAAATGTCATTTTGCTTCTCCAGTCTTTCATATATGGGCACAGTACTTTTTGTAAATTTTTTTTATTTAGTTGTCTTTCTGTCTTTTTTTCTTTCTGATATTTGAAGATTTGAGCTCTATGGATTTTCATGGTACTCCTCTGATCATGT